GTCATCTTTTCCCCCGTGTCCCCGCCGAAGGGGGTGCAGGGGCCTTTCGTGCCTTCCTTCCCTCTCTTCCCCATGCCTTCTCCTCTTCCGTCCATCTTCCTCCCCCTCTTCTTCAATCCCTTTGCCTTTTAAATATTCTCTCCCTGTCGCACCTGGAGGCCGATCGAAAGGGTGGGCCTTGCGTTTCGCTTGAGACTTCCGCACCATTAGTCAAGGCACCTCGGCGAAGGGTTGCCGGCAACCATGAGCTACAGCGAGTGCAAGGCGACACCGACGGCAGCTACGCCAACGGCAAAAATGAAAAAAACTTCAACGATCTCGTCACCGACAGCGGGGGAGATGGTTGACATTGCGCCACCCTTCATATTTCCAGCAGCGGACGGCCTCGAGGACACTGACCCTCTCGCGTCCTTGGCAGGTTGGATCAGGCGAGCAACTCCCCATGCAGAGAACATGATTCCAAAACTTGGTATTACTGGCTGGAACACCACAGCCAGACAACGCACATGGGAATGGGTACAAATGGTTGCCACCGGCACTACAAAAGAATTGGCACAGTCGGCTTGGCGAATTCCTGCGCGATGTGCATGTGCAGACACATCGACGAGCTGGCCCACCCCAGAACAAGGTAGTGGGACCATCCACTCCGCTACACAAAACAATGCGTTCCGTATGCACAACATGCGGTGGCAGAGTTATTGCGGATTGCAAGCATAGATGCTGGGGACTGTATCAAGCAGGGTACATCACACAATGAATTAGTGGGACGGCGTGTCGTAATTCAGTTGCTCATAGTTCACACGCATGCTGGTATTCGTTGGTTCGGATCCTGCTTCTGTCCCTGGATCGTCCTCTGTCTGTCTTTTTCTCTCTCGCTCTATCCTTCTTCTCTCGTTCGCTTTTGCTTCTGTCCCACCGCCCACCATAGTCAGTCACGGCGGTGCTCCCGCGCCCACCTGCAGTGCCCCCGCGGCACCCTGACCGCATGCCGATTGTCCGAGTGTCCGAATCAACATCTTCTTGCCGCTATGCTTTCCTCGTACATTTCCAACCCCTTGGGCGACCTTGGAGCTATTTTGGGGGTATCTTGAGCCGTCGGAAGGCCGTCGGAAGGCCGAAAAGGTGGAAATGGCCAAATCCATAACCTCAAGAAAATCAACGATTTTGCATTCTTCGGCCCTTCCAGGATCTGTTGGAGGCCTCTGGGGCCGTCTTGGGGGCATCTTGGGACAATCTTGAGCCACCTTCGGCTCTCTTGGGCCTATCTTGGCCATCTTGGAGGCCATCTTGGCCGTTTTGGAGGTCATATTGGCTGCCTATCGACAGCTTGGAGGCCATCTTGGGCGTCTTGGAGACCTCTTGGCCCGTCTCGGGGCCTTGTTTGGACTGGCTTGGGGGCCTCTTGGACCGTTTGAAGCCATCTTGGAGGCCTCTGGGACGATTTTGGGAACTCCTTGGGCCGTCTTCGGCGGTCGGAACACCGATACGGAGGACAAGCCACCAATCCTTCAAAAGCCTAAGGAAAATCAACGCTATTGACTCCCTCGGGAATTCCTGGAGTGGGCGATCTTGGGGTAATCTTGGGGGTCTCTTGGGCCGTCTTGGGCCGTCAGAAAGCCAGCCTTAAGAGACACGAAAGCCCAAAGCCTTCAACAACATAAGGAACAGCAGTGATTTTGACCGATTCGGGCCTTCCTGGGGAACCTGTTGGAGGCATTTTGGTCCGTCTTGGAGGTCTCTTGGGCGCCTCTTGGACCGTCTTGGACCATCTTGAGACTTTATGAGGCCGTCTTTGATGCTTCTTGGGCCGTCTTGGAGGCATTATGGGACCATCTTCGCCGTCTTGGAGGCCATCTTGGCCGTATTGGAAGCATCTTGGAGGCAGTCTTGTGCCAACTTGGCGATCTTCAAAGCCATCGCGCGCCGCCTTGGGCGATTCTTTCATGAAAATTGTGCTCCCTTGTGCGGTCTCCGGGTTGGCCGGCGGGACGGGCCGAATCCTCAGGAGGAGCTCTTGTGGAAATAGAGCCAAAACCAAGAGCGATACAGGCACACCTGTGGCAAGCCAACAGGGGACGGCGGATCTAGCTGCTTTCGACCCTTCCCGCCTCCGCACCTGGGTTGTAGGTCAGAGGCAGCCTGGATGCTGCGGGCTGATGTGGGCGCTGCGGGGCCTCTCGGGTGCCTCTCGGAGCCTGCTGGGGCGCACCTCGGGGACTCGTGGGGGGGGAGCTTGGGCCACCTTGGGTCAGGAGGGGAAAAAACACACAGACACAATTAATCCTCGATTCCCAGGAAAATATGGGAAAATATGGGAATTGGGGGGGAAGACAAAAACCCAGAAACTATGAGAAAATATGGGGACTATTTTTATTTGTGTGTATTTATTTGTGTGTCCTAATTTCCCTTTATTGGGGCGGAGCGCTCAGACTGTCCGTCCGTGCTCCCCCTCTCGGGCCCCTGTTGGGGCCGTCTCTGGGGCCTCCTCTGGCCCTCCTCGGAGGCTCTTGGGTCATTTGTCGGGTCGGACGAGAGGGGGGGATTGGGAAAGGGGGGGTTACAAAATTTGCTGCATGCAGCTGGTTTCGGCCTCGCCGAGGGGCCCATTCCTCGATACATGGCCGCCTCCGGCGCCGGGAGGCGCCGGGCAAATCAGCTACATGAGCTGATTCTCAAACCCCCCCTTTGCTATCCCCCCCTTTCGCCCGACCCGAATTTGGGGCAACATTGGGCGCCAGGCCGTCCTGGACGCTCTGAAGACAAGAAAAGCGGCAGCGCGAAAGCCATACGACGATTGATGGCGTTCTGACGATTTGGGCTTCCTGGGCCAAGTCGGGGCCTGTCCCGCTACAGGAGGAAGATTCAAAACTTGGTAAACACAAATAGTCTGGGGACTACTTTGGAGTATGCTCGTTGACCATTTTTGAGCATAAGTGTTGACCATTCTTTTGAAGATGTTGGCTGCGTGGATTTTTGTCCTCCAACATCCCCCTGTAGGGGGGCGGGCCCGACTCGATGTCCGGGCCGCCCTCCGGGGCCCGCTCAGGGCGGCCCGCCCGCGCGGCGCCCGCGGCCGGCTCCGGGGCGCTCGCTCCCGGGGCCGTCGGGAGCAGTGCTGAACCTGCAGGTCCATAGCGACGCGCTCCTGCTCGGCATCGCTCGGACGTGTGCATTTTTCCCTCGGCGAGGACCATCGAGGAGCATCTTGGGAGCCTCGAGACGGGGGTCAATACAAACAGGGGTCAGCCACGTGTCCGGATCCTGCAGGATCCTGCAAAGACCCCCTCTGGCTGACCCGGGTTAGGGAGCCGTTCGTGGCCGCGAGGCGGCCGCGCCTATTGGCTGACCCGGGTTTGCGAGGACCTGCGTTGCGGTTTTTTTTCCCTGCATTGCAGTTTTTGGTTTCCTGCTGACCCGGGTCTGGATTGACCCGGGTCAGAAGATCCCCGAACCTGCAGGTCCATAACGACGCGCTCTTGCTCGGCATCGCTCGGGCGTGTGCATTTTTCCTTCGGCGAGGGCCATCGAGGAGCATCCTGGATCATTTGGCGAGAAAGCCACGCGCGAAACCGGAAAAAACACGGGGAAGGAACGTCCGAGCGATGGCCAGTCTTGGCCTCCGGGCATCGGACACTGGAACGTGTACACTACCAGCGGCGGGCGGCTTTTTCAGTCCCACGGCTTTTTGAGGGTCGGGGATGACGTCGGGGTGGTGTGGTGTGGTGTATACAGTCGGGGCGCTGAAGAAGGAACCCTTTTCGTTGTGGAGGGGCTCGGCGTCCCTTGATTGTTTCACAGCTTGCCTCAGGTTTTCCTTATGTTTCCGGTGGGGAATCGAAGTTGAATTTATGGGAGAAAGGGGCCTCGTTTTTTATTTAGGGTGCCTTAGGTCAACACCCCGACTGTACCAGCGGCGGGCTGCTTTTTCAATCCCACGGCTTCTCGAGGGCCGGGGACGACGTCGGGGTGGCGTGGTGTAGGCTTTTCCCCCGTTCTCCAAGGGGGACAATGGGGCAGATGTATACACCAGGATCCCGTACACATCAGTCGGGGCTGGACAGACCTCCTACCCTGACACGTCGATTAGTGAATTGGCTGTTTTCAGTTCGCGGGAGGGCGTCGCGGCCGTCATTTTTGCGGGTCCAGGTCCAACGGTTTCGGTCCCAGGCCGTTTTCACTAAGGGGAGGTTTACTAAAGGGAGGTTTGTCCAGCGCCGAATCAGGATCCGCGTTCCTGTGCGAATTTCAGCGCAGGGTCGGAAAACGCGTCGGCTCTAGCCCCAGAAAAGGGCGCGCGGAGCGCCCGCCAAAGAGAGCGCACGAGAGCCTCAAGGGCGCCCAGGAGCGCCCGAGAGCGCCCAGAACTCCGGGCTTTGGGCCCCGCAGAGAAGGTCTACAGATATCAATATTCGGGAGGGGGAAAAACACACAGACACCTTGAAGAATGATCAGAATTGCGTCAATGTCTACGCTGATTTGTACACGTTCTTCTACCAACCCAAGCTAGCAATTGTTCCGTACGGTGAGTTTTTCTATCCCGGAACTTTTCCGCACTTAGAGAATCATCAGGCACACGCTCCCGCATTAACATTTTCCCGTGCTGTGGATGCAACATCGCGGCGGGTGTTGTCGAATATTCGAAACGAACCACACGGTTTCATGCACATGCGCTTGTGTGACTTGGCAGCAAAACAGCGTTTGCACGGAGCCTCAAAGAGTGTTTGCTTTTGTGCCCCAACATCCAGGAGTGAAGACCTTCATTGTTTTTTGGCTCTGCTTCGCACGGGTGCAGAGAGATTGGAAAGTAAGTTTGACGAGATTGTACCCCGCACATACATTATCTTTGAATGGGGCTCTTGATTTCAATGACGCCGACAAGAACGACAAGTGCGACATTCACTTCAAAGCGTTAGCCATGCTTACTATTAGCCTTACGAAGAACCCAACCATATGCAGCTGCGACTACCCCATTGTGGGTACCGCTTTCGGTGGAGCTCACT